ATTCTAACTATGCCATCTGTATTCTATGATGATAAAGAGGCTGTTTCTGAGCTCTAGTCTAGACCAATTTATATATTGTGTAATGTATTTGGGCGACATCAATTTCCCTCATTGATCCTTCTGCCTCTGTTTTCTTTTCCTCATGTAGGATCTGGAGGGCAAGATCATTGTGGATGAGCTGAGACAGGAAGTGATCAGCACAAACAGCAAGGCCGAACCCCCACAGTGCACTTCCCTGGCATGGTCTGCTGATGGACAGGTACATCACACTCAGACCTATTTCAGTGGCTATCAGTGTTTAATCCCTGGTGATTATACCCAATCACTTTTAACTCTGATGTTAATGCTGACAGTCCTGCAAATATGAGGGGAAATAGAAACACACTTATTTGAATAGTAATGGTACGATACAGAATTTAAATAAACAATGTTCCTTTATCCCTGTTTATTTTTCTTTACAGACCCTGTTTGCTGGCTACACTGACAACCTGATCAGAGTGTGGCAGGTCACTATTGGAACTCGCTAAAAACGTCGCAATCTACTTTGAATAAAAGACTGTTTGAAAAGAGCTTTTTACGTCTTCCTTTCAACTCTGATTATAATACATGTTATTGTTTTACTTAATAAAACTTGTGTAACAGTCAGGACAACAGTGCATTCAAACCTCAACAAAGCAATAATAAGTGAACGATTCATGTCTAACGTTGGGTTACGGAAACGTAAATCCATAAAGTTAGGAAAGAATCAGACAATGATTTCTGGTTTCCTGATTTGTGCCAACACTTTATTTATTTTAGTGTAAATAATGTACCCCCTTTTTGCATTTGTAATATCTTAGAATCAAAGGTGTACTGGCGTCGTGGACTTTGTCCGAAATTCTATACTAGCATGCTATTTTTCAGAATTGTTTGATTTTTCAGAGGAAGTATGTGATAATTTGATGCGAATAAATATGTGAAATATATTTTTCCCGTGAATGTCGCCGAAGACCCCTAATTTGTAATACTGTAAGTATGTAAATATTGCAGTACTTTCATCAGTAGGCCCTAGTCTCAATCACCAGTGTCAACTTTTTCAGCGATAGACTGAGACTTAACAGACATTTATTTAGACTTAAATCTTCCGAGTTTGCCACTTGAATATAAAACCAAACTAATGTATATTGTGTCGATTAACCAGTGTGGGCTGCCGTAGTTTTGTAATGGTTTCCTAGCAACCCAAACACAACTCGTGAACTAACGGCAGTTAAAACCAGCGAGTAACTACTCGGATACATTTACCAGCTAACTTTACGTGTGTTGGATGTAAACCTACTGTTACTTATGTAGAATAATAACAGTTTAGTTGATGGTACTGATGAAAACATCGTAACTTTATTCGCTAACGTTAGCTAGCTGTTAAAGGCTGCAGGAGAAGATGAACCAAACTTTATATCCTCGCATCTATGTGGAGGAAACTCTGGCTCTCATCAAACCAGATGCCATCCACAAAGCTGAGGAGATTGAGGATATTATCCTAAAATCAGGCTTCACCATCTTGCAGGTTGGTTCAAATGTAAACTCTGTAAACTATAGCATGTGCTGTATATTGTCAGGACGGGGTTGATGCAACTAATCTGATTTCTGAAGCAATATTTTGTCTTGTATTGTACGATGCCCCTACCTAAACAAGTGCCGAGTCTAACTAATACATCAACATGGCTTATTTATCCAAACATATGTGGTACTCTGCATGTAATTTGGCTGATATGTGACAAGAAATTGCAGTACAATAATGCAAAAGATATTTTTATGCAACAGAGAAACAGAAACCATGATCTAGTTTGTCCACCAGAGAGCGCTAACAATGTCCTGCTCAACACATACCATGCTGAAGTGTCCAATACTTCATTCCTGTGGCAGAAACGGAGGCTGCAGCTAAGTCCAGAGCAATGCTGTGACTTCTACGCACACCTCTATGGAAGGCTCTTCTTTCCCAGCTTGACTGCCTTCATGAGCTCTGGCCCCATCATGGCCATGACTCTGGCCCGTCACAACGCCATCGCCCACTGGAGGTCCATCATCGGGCCTGTGAACCGCACCAAGGCCAGAGAAACTCATCCAGAGTGGTCAGTCTGTTAACTTATACTTATACTACCAATGCAAATTCTGCATATGTCCCAAAAAAACCTGAATATAACGTGTGAGCACATCCATATTAGGGTGTCACAATACTTGAATATTTCTGTGATAACATGCCAACTATCCTTAGCTCAGACAGGGAGCACTACTGTTGGACACATTATATTAACAAAATAATAATGTTACTTCAAGCATAGTGTTTTAGTAAATTCGCTACAGTTTTGAAAAAGTACTCAAAATATTCTGAGTGGTATTGGTACAGTCTGTATTCAGGTTGCAATGGAAACACTTGATCAAGCAGTGGTTTTTATATGTGCAAATGTATACGTAATTGATTGTGATTCTGGGCCCCTGCCTCCATATTATGACCATGCCCTTTGAGTGCGGGTCATTCTATGAATTGGTATCATGGTTCCTTATTTTTAAATAATGTAGAGCGGTAAAAGTTTGCAGTCATGTCAACACTAGCAGAGATGTTTATATGAATGTGATGTATTTCTCCTCTGCAGCCTCAGAGCAAAATACGGCACTTCTGAACTCAAAAACGCACTCCATGGCAGCGAGTCATTTCATGCGGCTGAAAGAGAGATCAAATTCATGTTCCCAAACTGTAAGCAATGCACAGAACCACACTTACTGTTCGTATAGAAACCATGTATCGTATTGACCACAAATGCACCCCCACATGCTTTTTCTCTGCAGCGGTAATTGAGCCCTTTCCCTCAAGAGAAGCCACCAAAGAATACCTGAGCAAGCATGTAAACCCAACTCTGCTCCTTGGACTCACTGAGCTCTGCAAGCAAAAGCCACACAACCCCTGTGTAAGTATTCCATGCTCAACATGTGAAGGTATACAGTTATTTATTGTTATTCATTGCTGTTAACATGTTGTTTACTAGTGTTGAGCTTTGGTCCCTGAAACATATTTCTCTGTTATCCACTTTTTTCTTCAATAGATTTGGCTTGCTGACTGGCTGATCAACAACGACCCAAACAAGCCTAAAATATGCGATGGAGCCCCTGTAGAAGAGGCAGAATGACAACAAATACATCATTTATAAACACATGTATCTATTCAGTAATATGATAAAATAAAATGTCTTTTCAGTGCTAATCCTTTGCTATGTTTGCTTTCTGGTAAAACTGGTAAAGGGTGTGACTTGATTCATAATCAAAGTTCAGTAGCTTTACATGAGAACACTAACAACTGCTCCGAATCATTCAGTAAAACAAATATCACAGATTTAATTTTTTTTTAACAAAGCACCCCATCCCACCAGGTCTCTTATGTCATCTGGAACTGTAGTAAATTAGCCAGTGGGTTAAAACGTTTTCATTTGATTTAATGAGCGTGATGAATGAATTGGATGACTTGTTTGACCTGCGTTTAGTTGATTACATTCACTAAATGGACAAAACACTCATATGATATATTCTGGTCTACCAGCTTCATCTCTTGTTGCTCCTCTGGAACTAGTGCTCAAACACAAAATGTATTTTATGTCAAAGTACTACAGCTTGTAAATAAAGCAGATATGTTACTGAATGAACAAAGTTACTTCAGAGCATTTCAGTATTTTATTCAGGCTTACAGTAGTCTGCATGTTAGTTAACATATTGCTTATTGATAATAATCCCAATGACCTGCAACATTAGTATCACGTGATAGTTATTCAGCAACCAAAGAGAAAATATAGAGAAAAGACTTACATACTATGACGTGGCTTGATGTTTTAGTCTTTAACTTTCATGTGACTATGAGTTATCTGGTCTGCAGTAACTATGAGAGTAGCTTTGTGTGTGGATCCTAACTCACTGTAGACAGATGGCTGCTGGTTCTGCACAGGATAAGCAGTGGTAAGAAATAGACGAGTGGACAATAAATCAAGAGAATTTTACTTTAACAAGCAACACATTCCAGTTAATATCAAACCGTCCCCACCGTCTACTGGATCAACTCACCATCTCTCATAGAGATGAACCAACACCTCTCAGCCCACCGCCCAACAAAAACTGCATACAAACTTGATATAACTGTGTTTATTGGGAACCTATTGTACTTGATAATGTATATGATGTCATTATTGTTAGGTATCTGTTATTTTGTCCAACTCATGTTGAGTATTTCTTTAAAACTTGTACAGTAGTCGTTGAAAGAAAGTCACCTTCATAGCATATAGTTGTCCATGTACACATAGAAAACTTGATGGCAGATCACTGAGTTTATCCGTCATTAATGTTCATACAGAGATGCCAAGATCTACATTTTAACAGTTTTCACACATCGGCAGGGCACCGTTCATTTCCACGAGCATGGTCCGGACTACTGTTGCATTTGTATCAGGTCCAGAGTGAAAAGCAGATAAAGAGTAATGCTTTGACACATCGTTCAACGCAACAGTCGCAATTCATCAAACCTTTTTTTTTAAATTGCTGAGCAGTGAGCAACTCTTTTTCGTTCGACGCAGAAAGGGGACTCGGAGTTCCTTCCTGTGTGTTAAGGGCGTGAACATCTTCTGTGGAAAGAAAGGCACGTGTATGTGATTGGTCGGAGTCATGAGTGACAGCGGCATTCATCCAATCAGGTTGCTTCTCCACAGAAATGGCGTTTTTTCCTGCCGGTTCTAGAAAACCAACCACGAGTTGTCGTCGTGTGGGAGAATCCATCTTGAAGAGAGCTCTCCGGTTGTTTGACCAGTAAGCAGGTTTTCGTACTTCTTTAACCTTGGTATTGTCATTATATTGTCACGTAAGTACTCGGATTGTTGTAGTGTTTTCATCGGTTTTCTGATAGACGTAATGTATTTAAATACTAGTACATATAAGGCGTATATCGCGGCTAGCGCGGCCTTTGCGTTATGTAACTGCGAATTTCAGTTGTCGAGTCCAGGCTTGGTTTATCAGCGCGATGCAGAAGGTTACGCTGTTTCTAATCTCCCACCATGAGTGTGCTATCGATGCGGGCTGGTCATCGTGTTGTGTACGTAAACGATACAGAGTTGCCGTTTTGCTGACACTGCTACAAATACGAATGAATGTTAAATGTATGGAACGCGGTCGTGCCGGTCAAAATGGTGGTATATGCATGCACGGGCACCGTGTAAATGGCGTAGCATGAGGCATTATATAACCGTCGGATGTGTGAATATGTTTTGCTTTTTTTATGGGTTTTAGGTATAATAGTACAAAATGTCCGAGACAGAGCAGCAGTATATGGAAACATCAGAAAACGGCCACGAAGTCGACGATGATTTTAACGGAGCCGAGCACACCGAGGAGGGCAACGACGACGGGACCGACGGGAACGAGGAGAGCATCGCCGTGAATGAGGAGTGCGAAGAGGGCGCAGGGCCCGACGGCGACGGCAACTCGCTAAACGGCGGAACAGAGGGCGGACAGATCGACGCCAGCAAAGGCGAGGAGGATGCAGGGTGAGTTAAAAAAAAAAAAATGGTGGAAATGTTTCTTTCGTGATATCCAACATTTATTAGCAAAGCGCCCGTGGTTCCCTATGTCTCTTTGTTCAACCGGCCTTTGTTGGCGCCATATGCAGAGCGGACGAGGGGGGGATGGGCGCTTCAGCAGGGATCTAATCTAGCATGTATTAGTTCGCGACAAACCGTTGATATGCGGTGTCTGATGTGTTCGTATCGAAAGGATTTCTATTCGATTGAATTAATGTTGTAAATGCAGCTTTAAGCTACAGCAGCTGGAGCCCCCTCCCCCTACGTCATTGGGTTGACAGATGTTCTGGAACAGTGTGTACATTTACCCCCCTCATTTAAAGTTAGAGCGGGCTGGCCTGTAATGCTGAACATGTCCTCCTTCTCTCTGTGCACAGGAAAATGTTTGTTGGTGGTCTCAGCTGGGAAACGAGCAAGAAGGACCTCAAAGATTACTTCACTAAATTTGGTGAGGTGACAGACTGCACCATCAAGATGGACCAGCAGACGGGCCGGTCAAGGGGCTTCGGCTTCATTCTCTTTAAAGAGGCAGGAGGCGTCGAAAAGGTGAGCGGGGAAGAAATTATGTCGGAGCCAACGTAACTTACGTGTACAAAGCAGGCGAGTTTCAATATTTTCCTCTTTCTTTTAGGTTCTCGAGCAGAAGGAGCATCGGCTAGATGGGCGAGTGATCGACCCCAAGAAGGCCATGGCCATGAAGAAAGATCCCGTCAAGAAAATCTTTGTGGGAGGCCTTAACCCCGACACTTCAAAGGAAGTCATTCAGGAGTACTTTGGGACCTTTGGAGAGGTACGGTATTTAACACATTTGTCGGTTTATTAAGGAATTTAGTGCTCGAGATATTGTCAGCGTTGACCGCTCTCCTCTCGTGTAGGTGGAGACCATTGAACTTCCACAAGATCCAAAGACAGAAAAGAGGAGGGGATTCGTATTCATCACGTATAAAGACGAGACTCCTGTCAAGAAGGTCATGGAGAAGAAATACCACAACGTCGGTGGAAGCAAGGTAACTGCATACCGCACATTCTGCATACCGGTGAAACACGGTATGCTGTATTGAGTTTCATGAATTTAGCGGAAAGTCATGCCGAGCTGCAACGTAATGTGCTCTTGTGTGGTGTTCCAGTGTGAAATTAAAATAGCCCAGCCCAAAGAGGTCTACGTGCAGCAGCAGTACGGGGCCCGTGGATACGGAGGACGTGGCCGAGGCCGTGGCGGTAAGCACCGTGTCTGTCTACCAGCAAAATCCTTCTGTTAGACTATACTCAAAACATTTGTGCCGAGTAACTACCTGGGCCCTGTGTGCTGGAGAGTTGTGACGAAGGCCTCACCTGTTGTTTCTAGGCCAGGGCCAGAACTGGAATCAAGGTTACAACAACTACTGGAACCAAGGATACAACCAGAACTATGGCTACGGACAGCAAGGCTACGGATATGGCGGCTACGGCGGCAACTATGACTACTCTGCTGGTTATTACGGCTATGGGGGTGGCTACGACTACAGTAAGCGATAAGTGCCCCCCGGGAAAGAAAAAAGAATGAGAGAAACTTTATTTTCTTGGTCCTCCTTGTTGTACAGAAGAACTCAGTCCCTTTTTCTCTTGTCCTCCAGACCAGGGCAATACAAGCTATGGGAAAACTCCAAGACGTGGAGGCCACCAGAGTAGCTACAAGCCATACTGATCACACGTAGTGCAGGTATGCATTTTTGCATCATCCGTGGTAGTATGAGAACATAGCTGTAACCATTGGTGCCTTTTTGACCCCAAAGATCTCCATCTACTCTAAATCCATTCAAGCATTGTGGTGGGGTTAGGGTAGGCTGTGTTGTGGGGTCTGTGATCATTAAAGATGGATTCATTCCACCTGTCAGCCATCTTAAGATGCATCTCTACTACTTGATCAATAAGGGTTGAGTTGGTGGTGGTTTGAGAACAGGAATAAGGACCGTTACACCTTTCACCCGGGTGCTAGGTGTAATAGTTAGCGGTCGTGCCCCCCCCCCCCCCCCCCCCCTCCCCCCCCAAAACAAAAGTTTGTCTGTCCATTCACTGACCTGTCAAACTCATTCATGCACCTGTCTGTCTGTGTGTAACTTGCATGCCTTATTTGGTTTATTCTCAGTAACGTTAAGCACCGTGTTTTTCTCTTAAGGTCTAAAGTAAATAAGAAAAAGAGATCCATGGTCTGACCACAACCAACATGGGCTCTGGCTTTTCCTTTGGAGTTGGCAGAAATTTGGACTCATGCTCCATTTGTACAGATCAAGTGAGGAACTGGGGAAGCAAATGTCACTTTTCCACTTTTTATTTTATATTGTTTTGTGTCCATTTACATTTCCAGTGATGGAAGTGTTATTTTTACTGTACTTTTTGGTACCTTTTTGAATCTAATGTATTGTATGGTTGTATTTTTACATGTCTACTGGATTTACAGATGAGCAGGAGCAAGAGCTTTTAAAGCTCACAAATAAAACGTTTTTTTTTTTGTTTTTTTTTGTTTTTTTTGGTGTTTCTAGATCTTTAGTTATTTTCTCCCGTGCTGAATGTTGGATGCAAGTTGCATGGCTTCAGATGTGGGGTGAGGCAAAAATAAGGGATTTAAACTAATCAAAGGGTTCATTGTAAGAGTGTTAAGTGAATGTTTGCAGATCGCGTAGTAGACAAAGACAACCAGCATCTTTTTTTTTTTTTCTTTTTTTTTTGGCTTTTAAGGAGATTCTTCCCCCCCATCATGTCTGCAATTTTAAGTGGCTTTACTAGTGTTATTCAACTGAACGCAAGCCTGTTAATGTAAGAGGGTACTCCCTCTCTCACTGGAAACTCATTCCTCTAGTGTCTTGGGCAAATTGATAGAAATAAACTTTTGGTTTATATTACACATGGATCCTTTTGTTATTATTTGTAAAGGTAATGTTAAATGTTTTGTACTGTTAAATGGCTTGCTTGTTTTGTCATGAGTAATGTTAACATCTCTACGGATGCTGTGGGAGAGGGCGTCGCTGCCTGCAGGATAACTGGCTGAGTGTTAATACCCGCCCCACTAGATGTGAAACTGCACTACTTGAGCATTTTTCTGAATGTGACCGAGAGGTAACGATAGTGGTCTGGTAAGTGCTTATCTCAGCCGTGCTGTATTGAGAACATGTTGCTGATCAGTGTTGTAAGTTGAGACTAATTATAAAACATGCACAGCTGCTGTGAGGAGTCAGGATTTAAAGATAAAATGATTTTATTTGAAGAAGAAAAATATAACTGGGAGTTCATTAGTGTTACATTAGCATCTTGTAGTGGACCACGATGGCAACAATGTGCCAAAGCTGGCAACTCCTCCCACTGGCTGTGTTTCATCAGCTATGTGACTGCATCTCATTCATGCCTTAAAATGGCTGTGAACACCTGGGGGAGAAACGGATAATTAGTGATGCTCTAGACGACTGGCAGCCTTTTAAAATGTACTGCCCCCACTTTCATAGTTGAGCTATGATATGACGATGTGCTGATAGACGCTAATTATGAGACTTTGATTATTCAATTTCAAAAAACAGTGACCACACGGCAACATGTTCTGAGTGAAATGAACTTGTTTGATCTACTGAAAGTATAGGCATTCAAATCTCTACCTCTGGACTTTATGAATGTGACCATCTGACAATGTCTGATGCAATTAAAAGTTTTTCTACAGGTTTAACAAACCTTAGATGTCTTCCTTTTCCGGTTTAACTGTCACTGGCTTTCATGTCTGAGAACAAGAGAACTGAAAGTTATGCAACACATAAATTACAAATGTGTGGTATCAAGACTATATGGATCTTTCACACTAAGTGCATTAGTAGATGTATACCTACGACCGACCCTGTAGTAACAGCTGTAGGCTGAGGTGTTAGTGTAACTAACCTGTGAGGACGCGGTCAATACATTGAACCACCAGCTCTGCGTCCTCCATACTGAAACACATCGGAGGTTTAAACTTCACAACGTTTTCCCAGGGTCCATCTGTACTGATACAGATTTTATCATCCTCTTTTAACCTAATGTAAAAGGAACATGGAGTTATATCAACAAACCACTCGGCAGAGACTGAATACAAGAAAATCTGGCTGTATGTCGTCAGTATTACGACACGGTACCTCTTCACCACACGTGCTGCTGTTTCTGTGGCAGGAGTCTTACGCTCCCTGTCTGTAACCAGCTCGACACCCACAAACAGTCCCACACCTCTGTAAAAAAAACACATCATAGGGCTATGAGGTTGACTCCTAGGAACCCCTCTGACCCACAACATCAAGTAACATTTGAATAACAGAACAGATGATTTAATTTTAGAGCATCTCCCTGTCGAATTAAATATGTATATAGCCCAAAAATGCTTAATTTAACAAGTTACTGCTGTTTATATATTTATTTCCCTCTTTTAGTTGTGCTTGGTACTCTAATGAAAGGAATCTGCACGCTCAAATTTGGACTATTGGCTAAGGAAGAGCAAGTGCCTTTATAGGCCCTTTTCACAAGACTTTTATGCCACAGTAGCACATTTTCATACTTAAAAGGTCCTGTGCACTTTTACACATACATTATTTTTAAAACCCAAGAGTCTTTAATTACATAATTGCACATAAGCTACAAGTTGTATCTCCCATGTGATGACACTTTATCTCAGATGCCCTGCATATCTCAAGCCTGAGCACCCACCATGAAAATGGTTTTTCATCGTTCTTATTTATTATTCCAGTCTGAATAAATGCCATGGACTCTAGAGAATAGAACAGCGTTGGTCGTAATGAGTTTTAATGCCTGAGTGCATTAGTCATGGCATCCTTACCTGACATCGCCAATCACTTGATGTCGTGTTTGTATCTTTGTGAGCAAATCTTTAAGATGTGCTCCAACCCGTTGGGCGTTTCCTCTCAGGTCCTCTTTCTCTATCACATCGAGCAATGCAAGGCCAATAGCGCAGGACACCGGGTTCCCTCCGAACTGCATGAAGTTATAGGGAAAAAAACAAATAATTTCACGTTTATGTATGCATGCTCAACGAGAGGATGTTAAAAGAGATTTCAATAGAAATAAGTTTGCTTAAAAGCAGAAATTTTTTAGCAATTGACTTTGGGAATTCTTTATTAGTGATTATGTTTTATGCAGCAGCATAGTTGTTAAAAAGTGGTCCTGGTGAACGGATCAACAGACGTCAAACAGTCAGTGATCAACATTACTACCACATGAAAAGAGAACTTTTTACCTTAAAAGACACCATCTGTGTGTGACCGACATCAGTTTACTAATAATAAAAGGTCTTACTGTGCTATCACACTATACTGAGAATGATGTTGTATTCCTTATGACACCCTGGCTGTCTCTACAGCTGTGAGCAGCTACAGAAAGCAACTTGAAGAATGTGTTCATAATGTGTTACGGCTACTGTATAGTCACCGTATTAAAGTACTCCACTCCATTGGCTGTGAAAGCTCCGGCTATTTCTACAGTGGTAGCCACACATGCCAGGGGATGCCCATTGCCCATGGGTTTACCCATGGTCACTATGTCGGGACAGAAACCCTCCCCGTGCAGCTGGAACGCCCAGAAATGACTTCCCACGCGGCCAAAACCCGTCTGCACCTCGTCTGCCACAAACACTCCGCCAGCTGAGCGCACGTATCTGTGGGAGATGCACCGTGTCAACACTAACGTAGGTGTGGCTGAGCCAAAGCAGGACCTGAAAATGAGTCACCACTCACTCTGCGACTTTAGTCGAGTATCCTCGGGGCAAGATGATTTGTCCTCCGACACTTGGCAATGACTCAGCAAAGAAGGCCGAGATCTGTATGGAAAGTGTAGTAAATAAGTAACATGAATGGCATGCATTCATGTTTATTACACCATTATACATTAAAGGTGTTAAGAGAATTGCTGATTTGATCCATGCTGCGTAAAACTGTTTTAAAGACCTTACGACCCTTCCTGTGCACCTCCTCTATTAGGTCTTTCACTGTATCAGCGTATGCTTGGCCGGGGTTGGGGTGATCCTCTCCGTATACGCCTCTGTAGGTGTCTGGTAACGGTGCCTAGGAGGATGAAACACGTTCTTTCAGACAGACAGACAGGTCCACTGTTGGTCAGCGGTTTTGTGAGATGATGGTAAATTTACACACCACATGAACCCATTCTTTCTGTCCTGCCAGTTTCCGGAACTTGTACGGACTAATGTCAATGAGAGACATTAGATGCCCATGGTATGCACTAGTATAAAAGGAGAGTTCATTGTAATTGACTGTATTGTCTGGGTGGGGGGGGGGGGGGGAATGTGTTGCAGTAGTACAGAATACTTACTGGTCAAGCACAATGACGTCCTCGTGCTGGGTGTACTGCTGAGCCAAGCGAAGGGCAAGATCATTGGCCTCTGAACTGTCAGGAGAGCAGATGTAAAATCACAGGAGTGGTACTTCAGGAGTACTATTCTTTCTGTGTGTGTGTGTGTGTGTGTGTATGTGTGTGTGTGTATGTGTGGGGGCGCACAGCTTACCCAGAGTTTACAAAGTAGAACACGCACAGCTTCTCGGGCAGGGTGGCAGCCAGCCGGTCTGCATACGTGACTATGTTGTCGTGCAGGAATCGTGAGTTTGTGTTCAGCAGGTCCATCTGTACTGCTGCAGCTGCAGTGATGCTGGGGTGACAGTGGCCCACTACGAAAGGAGTCATACTGTATGTTACTTTAAAAACAGCATTAAAAACGTGCTGCCATTAGTAGACAGGCGGAGGGTAATATAAAGTGTTACACAACGGTAATAAATGGACTATGCACCGGGTGGTACATGTGTTACCATGATGAACGTTGCTGATGCAGTCCAGATAGCGCTCGCCGTTTTCATCAAATAGATATTGGCCTCTCGCTCTCACTATTTTCACAGGATCGTCTGAATAAAACAGTCTACATGACTGCCTGTGATCGAAGAAATTACTACGTGTCAGTAACTTTCGTGCAAATGCTGCACAGCAGCACAATATGTGTACCAACGAGCATCAAGACAGTCAGTTTCACTTTTACATACCCGATTAATCTCCTCCTCATTTCGAGAGTTTCTTCTTTCCTGAGTTTTTCAACTGCCATATTGTTTTTGGGTTTCTCTGTAACGAATACCAAAGACTACTGAGGGGAAGAGCGCTGCTCAATGACAGTTCTCCTTCTCTTTGAAGTTTTTTTACGGTAGTTTTCGTCCCGTAAATTGCATTACTGCCCCCTACTGGATCTAATCGTCCACCATCCTCATTCTATTACAGACCTTTTAAAAAGTCCGATTGCTTTCGAAAGCTTAAATATAATTTGTCTCCCTTCCACCGAGTCAGTCTCCTCTTTAGTGACCTCTCCTCGTCCTAGCCCTTGTATTCCTGCAACCTCTTTCCTCTTCATACTTCCTGCATTAACACAGGACACTCTACTGTCTCCTTTCCTTCACACTGTTTACACTGAATGCCCAATGACAGCTATCTTGTCATCTAGTCTTGACATCCACCACGCATACGTCCATGATAGATTTTTAGTTTATATATAATATTGGTTGTTTGGTTTATGCTGTGGCCTTATTTAGAAGGGCTCAACTGTGGGGGTTGTTAATGGGACAGAGACTTCCAAAATAAGTGCGACATATTTTGCTATGTTTCTCGTTTTCAATTGGGAACACGTTAAAAATAAAGGTATTTATTGTAAAAGTATGCGCTGTATAAGTATTGTGGGGTTTCCTCATATTGCATTTTTTAAGGCAGCGTATTGAAAACCCCTCTGTATTGGTACGGTCCAAAGGCTATAAATACTCCCTCAGTCCGGTGCACAGTCTTCAGCTTCGGTTGCTAAGGAACCACTGAATGCAGGTAATACATCAGGACAGCTGTAGCATGCTAGCTTTCAAACAGACTGCGTAGCCAAGCTAATGCTACAACTGATTCAGTTACAACTGATATTATTATAAATGTATCAACGTCCCTTTTCCTATTTTAGTCTAATGAATCACGGGTACATCTGGGCACAATGACAAGCCGTTAACCGGTACCGTTAGCAGACTGACTAACGTCAGGATGTTATCCTATCAGCTAGCTGACGACACCGGCTAATAACCAAGTGCTCCACGGGCTGCATCGTGTTGCAGAGCGAGTTCACTATAACGTTATACTTTGCTCAACATACTATACTTAATTTAGCCTAATTTTATTGATGTGTAAGTCCTACATTATCAATGACAAACAGTTCTCGTGCTGCTAATGTTTCGGACAACGTGGCGTTAATTTCTTCTTGTCAAACATGAATGTTTTTCGTAGCCTTAAACTTATTTGTTAGGCCAGAACTACTTAACGCTAATAATCCTCACTAACACCAGTGTGAATTAATAGTGTCTGTGCTATATGTGTCTCGCTAGTCGTTTTAAGAATGTCACATAATTCATTCACAGTAACGTTTACGTTTGTAATGTCGGACAACATGGTAAAGTTACGTTAAAGTTGTACATCAGCTGGTGGTTGACAGCACTGCTCTTGGCTGTTTTTGAATAGAGTCTGTAGGTTTTGCCAGTGGCTGCTGCTAAAGGATGGGGTGAAGTAGCGTGTGTTCTGGCATGTGGAACTAGGCTAGCAATGTAGCACCATGTTTGCCACAGGGTGGAAGGCCCTGGCCACATCTGACTGACTAAAGCAAGTGTTAAAGCCTTTTCAACGAGGACTGTTACGTGGCATCAAGCGTTGGAATTCAGATTAAATACAGTTTAAAATTGATCAACGTTATGTTTCAATATGTTTCTTGTCTGGATGTCAGCATTACATGTGCTCTAGATTTGGGGTGATCAGCAGGTTAGACTGCAGTGCAAAAGTCCCCCAAAACACATGCTACATTTTAATGCTGTGGCTAGAGTTTATAAATAGTCTTTTAGTTTCAGTTTGAGATGTTTTTGTGCAGTGCAAAGGTTTGCTGGGATGGGCCACTGTGGGTTACTCTTCAGAGATGTTTGTGTATTGAGTAACTGTTGGCTCTTAACAGCTAACGTTGCCATTTGCATGCAAAGTAAATAACAGGAACGTGCACGCAGGTTGTCTTGTGGCCCTTTGCTCTACATTACACCATGTTGACTTTTCCCTGGTAATATAAGCCCTTGAGACCAGGTCACTGTTCTTTTGTCCCCCTTGCAAAGACACTAAGGCATGCTTCCAACCCCTATCCCCATTCATTTTTCACACCCCCCCCATCTTTTCCCTTTTTTTTGTCTCTCCCTCCCCCTTCCATTCACTTCACCACTTCAACTCTTGACATTTTGTTGGACCCAACTGACTACGATTGTGATGGCATTCCCCCAAAGGATTTCAATTTGGACATACTCTGTGGTTTTCTTTGAGTTTTTACTATTCCATGTTTGTAGTACCAATAAGAAATGCTCCAGTTCACTGTGCATGATGGAATGTGAAGTGCTTCTTTGTTCTGGCTCTCCTCATGCCCATGTGTTCCCCTTCGGCCTTTGTGAACATGAACTTCTGCCTTTCATGTGTGAATGGGGCAGCATGTAGAGCCTAGCCTGGGTCATGTATAGTAATGTGGTACTTGGAACACTTTTTTTTTTTTTCAGGCATTCTGTTCTTCTGGAGGCTTTTCTCCACTACAACATGTTGGAGGAAAGGAAATTAGCAGATTTTACACTCCTATCCAAGGACTGATGGATCTGTCTAGAAACTTATAAGCTACTGTTCAATCAATTTGATTTATTTCAATGAAGTGCTTTCTCTGCAATGTGTGGGACCGGTGTCCGGTAATCGTTGACATTGTTTCATAAGAATCCCTTTTCATCTGTCCCTGTAGGTGGCTTAAACATGACGGTGGCATAGTGAGGAAAGCTGGTCAGTCTGGCTGGTTGAGGTGTGGAGGGGACACCACAAACCACGCCAGGATTCTGACTAACACACTTTCCACTGCCCTCAGTAAATCTCCTCCTCATGTCCGTCGGTGGATAGTTGCTACAAACATGGTGACGCTTATCACAGAGCAGCTCCGTAAGCAGAGTTTGGAAGAGCCGTATTACAAGGCTTTCTCATTCAATGTCAATGTGGTAAGTAGGATACTAAATCTTGTCATATTTTAAAAGGTTTTTTTTTTTTTTTTTTTTTTTTTTTTTTCTCTCGGACCACTTAGTTTTTTGTTCTAGTTTTGTATTTAATTTTATTTCTGTTTCAGTCATTACCTGCAGTGGGGTCCAGTCCCACGGTCTCATGGAGTGCTTGTAGATCATCACAAGGCGAGTTCATTGAATTTAGTGCAGCGTTTGTAACCTCTCGATGGGGAAATCTGCCTGCCTAGTCTCATGTCTTGTCTTTTGGTATTTTCAGAGATCAGCTCAGCTACACACCCATTATCCAAACCCAACCTTCTGGGTGATTCCTGTGGACTAGACTCCCCATGGTGTCCTTCCCACTCTGGAGAACCCCTCCAGAGACCAGAGGTTTCTTTTACAAACCAGGTTTTCCAAAGCTCACCTCCTCCACCACCTCCAAAACGCCACTGCCGGTCCCTCTCTGTTCCAGAGGACCTGTCTCGGTGTCGCTCCACCTGGCATCCTAGTGCATCCAAGGTTTGGACCCCAGTCAGAAGTGGCTGCCAAAGTGGAGGAGCATCTAGTTCCAGCTCTGGAGCCAGCTCTTTGCCACTTTGTGGTCCCAGTTCCTCTTTCACCTCTTCCTCCCTACACTCCTCTTCTAGCCCTACCTTCTTTAGCTTAGCACTGTCCTCAGACTCGCCGATACCCTGGAGCTTCTCATGGGACCCCTGTGACAAATTGAAAGGAGCCTGTTCTGCCTCCTTTGCTACTCCTTCCTCCTGCTCCTCCTCACCAGCCCCCCTGGTTTCCCACTCAGTTCCGCAGCGCCGCTTCTCCCTCTCCCCCGTGCACATTCAGGATGCCTCCATGGTGCTCCTGCCCCCCCAGCCCTCCCCTGCTTCTGCTTTGATGTATAGCAGTCCTGGCATAGAGCACCCAGCCCTGTCTTCATCTCCCACTTCAGCCTGCAGCACGCCATCCTCCTCTAGGCGCGACCTGCACCCAGCGCTGCCGCGCTGCCACTCGCAGCCCTGCGACATGCGCAAACCGCGCTTGAAGAGGCGCCATGACCCAGATGTTCTGCCCTGCCCCAGGCCAGGCCTCGACTTCAGCAAGATGACACAGGTGAGCAAGAAACCCCAAAGTGCTGTGGGTAGATTCTGTCAATCGCCTCCTCTTGCTGGTAACAGTATGTAATCAGAGGGCCTGGGTTCACTGCCTTCTGGATCTTGGAGGGCAATATTTGGCCCATGTGAGTACCCCATCCCCAGCAACTCGGGAATCTAAGCGTGGCCCTTAACTATTCAGCTGTCTTCATTTCAGCCTGATGTTAACTTATGGATGATTAGTGAAGAAGTACGGCTCCAGATCCGTTTCAACAAACCTGTCCCAGTCACATCAGTGCACTCAGGATTGGGTTCCGGGTTGTGTTTTTGTGTCATAAGCTGCATTTTCCTGATCTCCATTGGCTGTGATGCACTCTACTGAAAACGGTTCCAGCCAGAGTTTGACCCATTAATAATTTGATTTGTGTCACAGGTTTCCTTGTTGGCAACTGCCTAGTAAGGCGAAACTAACTTGCCACATTGTTGAACACATGTTCAAAATGGCTGTCAAGGCAAATCCCTAAATGCAGGCTTTTTCTGACTATTAAAGAGACATTTCACACCAAAAGAAAGTGTGCATCTACCCATGGACGAGAGTTCCCATGCTTGTGACGATGAGCTATGAGCCTCTTGTCCATGAGTAGATGCACACTTTCTTCTGCGCGGTGATACAGTTATAGTTCGGTAGAAAGAAAATGGTTCCTAAATTAAACTAGTTACAAAAAGGTCTGGATTATCTTGAGTAACCAGGTCATGATTTCTGGAAAGTATTTATTTTAGCGCTTTGAGCTCCATTAGCAGAGTGCCATTTAGTTAAATTATTATCAAGGGAAGGCAAACGTCTGTACAGCAGAAGTCTCGCTCTGCAACTCGCAACAAAAACAATCTAGATTGATTCATGGGAATACAGTTAAGAGGAAAAATATGTACTTTGGGATGTAATGTCTCTATAAAGTTAATTTCTAGCTAATATTATGTCGTCTAAATGAACCACCAGCACAGAATTCAAATTTGGTAGCTAGAAAGTTAAAGTGTGTGTGTGAGCGTGCTGTGACACTCCTGGTGCTTGCCTACACATTGTGATCTATGAATGTCAAATGGGTAAATCCGTTTCATATTTTAATGGGATTAAATGCCATTTATATCATTTAAGTTTCTAGAGTTGATGTGGTCTAGGATGATACTTTGCTCGTGTCAGCCAAGACCATTAACTCAATCGGTTAATCTTTACTTAAAAACAAACGGGCGCTACAATCCATGCAGACTTCCTGGCATTGCCATTGATGTAATCACTGCACCATCTGTATTTTATTACCTTTTGGGTGTGGATCCTGGAGAAGTATGAAGCAGATGACTCGGCTGTATTAATGAGACTTGGACTGGTCCACAAGTGTTTTGCCACATGTTAATTGCTAGATTTGTGACATGATGATCATGCCTCCTCCTCTCCTGTGTAGATTGGTAATCACGAGAGCCCACTGTGTGGTACAGGCGGCTGCATCGCTCCAGGGTCTTTCCAGGCAGAGCAGCGATCTGCGGTCTCCCCTGCTGAGTTCCTGGGACGAGCCAGCATTGGACCACTAAGCGAAAGTGAAGAGGAGGAAGAAGATAAAAGGACTGCAATAGATGGAGGGCAAAAGATGGCTTTTGAAAGAGACTGCACAGAACTGGACTTGAACCTTATAGAAGAAAACTGACCACTCCTTGACGCTAGAGTGTGATGACTGCATTCATAACTATGTTAAGCACACCTGTAGGCTTTGTCCACTAGCAGAGTCCTTGGGAACCTGCTGCCCTCCTAAGGCACATGTTCAGCGTTCATAATCAAGAACCAAGCAATTAGAAGCTAATCAAATTACGATGTTATCATTGTAATGCTTACGTCATTATTCAACATTTCACAAAAAATTCAACGCTCCATAGGGAAATGTGCATGAGCAAATAAGCTAGTTTTCTTGCACACAGAATTTTGGCTTACTTTACGTTAACTATTGGTATCTTCATTTCCTTACTACAACTCATCATAATCAAAGAACTCTGTATACTGGAGTAATCAGAATGTGCTTAATATTTCCTCACACGTGATTTGAATACACATTAAAAGCCAATAGAGTAATAGAATAGAGGTAAACATTCCTCAGTGCGCCATCAGATACGGGCATAGTATTTATGAGAAGCTCAAGCATAAGAATTCAGATCTGTACGTTAATGCTCTCCTGTATGTTAAGTGGGATACATTCCAGGATTTCACTGCTGTTCCTCAAATCCATCAGACATTGTCGTAGATTTATTTCTCTTGTGAGTAACTACATCAAAGGGAAAATGTTTATTATAGTGAAAACACAGCTCTCCCTTTTGTTCATATATATTTTCTCAATTGCTTGAACATACACAGACCTCTTGAAGAATAATACTGCTGATAATATAAGCTGACCATGCCTTAAGCTTAAAACGGAGTTCTTGGTCCTCTGGTCTTCTTTTCACAGCCAGACGTTTTTTGCAATCTCCATTTGCGCTGATTCAGACGTTTTTGAACAGGTGGCACATGCACTACAACAAGTCAATTGAATAGCGGAGTTGATGCTGCAGCTGGACTTTATAGGGCACAATGTAATGTACTTCAGTGGTTGGAGTGGGTACACGCATTGAGCCAGAGTGTATGACAAAGGTGGTGCTGATGCAGATGTTTTGGTGGCCTTTCAGAAATGATTTTTAATGTATTTTCAGCTGGAAATACTACTGTTGCACAATTTATGTACAAATAAAATTGAATAGAGAAATTTTTTTTTTTCAAAAAGTGTATCGTCTTCCATTTACTAATAACTTTATACTGCCTCCAGTTGAACGACAGAACAGGGGCCCATACATTAGAACATGATTGTGACCCCTAGTGGCTGACTTTAGTATAATACTGTGCAGAGAAATACATTAAGTTCATTCTGACTTTACTAACCACATTTTCTGTTTAGAAGACAACAAAGTTTTCACAAAAACCTAAATATAACTTGCTTCAACGGAGTAACAATAACGTCTCTTTTCGAGGCGGATACATGGCTAGATATCTGAAAACATTAATCGTCAGACAAAGTTAAAGTATACCAAACATGTTATTTTAAAGTTTTATCATTTTACAAGGAGGCACGTTGCACTGAAAAGTTTTGCCTGTGCGAGATTGAGATTGTCGTTCCGCCGTGGACAGTGAGGGCGCTCCTTGCAGTCCACCGGTGCTTTTTTTCACAGGCTGTCTGACCCCCCCACCAACAGGCCACTTCCTCTTTTGTCTAATTTCATGGCGATCGGGAGAGAGGGAACGCCACCGACGCACGCACACTGCCTCAGCACTCTTGAAAGAGTTTATCCGGGGTAAATAACTGACATTATTATTGCAAGATTCGGTCACCGGGTTTTCAAAGTAGTTTTCCTTGAATTCAGTCATGTGGACGAGTCACATTTCCCTGTAGAGTTGATGAACTGTGTAGCTTGTGGGTCAGATATTTCACATTGTAGCGCCACTCGCTGATAACAAATCGGACTGAACGGGCTCCCCCCGCCGTTTGCACCTCACACTCAGCGGCACGCTAGTTAACGGCGCAGGCTAGCTAACGTTAGCAATGCTGCAAACGCCTGATACATGTAGCTATGGGTTTTTATTTATTGGCACACTTAACAAGTTTGTTGGCAGCTAAATAACACCAAAAATGCTGCGTGTCTTCGGGAGTTAGCAGGGAATTGTAGTTTTCATTAAATGAAGCTACTTAAAGTCCTCGAATGTTTGTGTTTGGGTTAACGCTAGCTAGCCAACATCGGCTAGCTAGCTCTCGTGCTATGTATTTAGTTAGCATTAGCGATTCAGAGTTAATTCAAGTTGATACTTTTAAGAACGAACATGTTGATTGTAATATACTAGCGACATGGTAAGAGCGGGGTAACTTTTGTATTTGAAGGAACATATACATATTATTCACCATTCAGTACCAGTAACGGTTAGCTAGCGGTTAGCTAGTTAACGGTAACTTGGCTGCTAACGAGAGGCTCACTCAACGCTACATGTTCACTACTAACGTTAAGTTGTCGTTACATTCACCACTCGTAACAGCGTTTTATTTAACTGGTAACTTGTCGGTGTTGTTTAACTGGGTATAGTGTGAGAGAGTGGCGGTGTTATTGTAAAATAAAGTTGACCACAAAGTTGTAGTCCATGACCGACAGTAACAGGTTAGATGTAGAACCATGGTACAGTGTGAAAGTAAAGTCAAAGAGTATTAGTCCTTACTAGCCGGTCCTGAATTAGCTAGTTATGAGTACACATTACCTTTAACAAAACACATAATACTAGTTACATTTTGTTGACTTCTCTGTTTGAATCCTGCAACATGGAGTTGTTGTTTTAGCTCTATACAAGACACCTGTAGTGAGACTACATTGCCATAATCTAAAATCAATGTGTCTTTTCATTGTTTACAGTGTAAACGAAGTTGTCAATCTGACCGGCACTGTTCTCCAGGTGAGTGAGTCTCTCTACAGTCACTGTACAAATAACTATAATCAATTTATTGTTTTCATTTTGAGGAATCTTCAAGTTTATAGGTATCATGTCCATGTTTTAATAGCTACACAATAATATACTTTTTTCATACCAGGAAAATGTAGTCACTGCTAGTTTTTAACAAACAAAATTCAATGTACCTTTTTTTTTTTTTTAAACAGTTTTGATCATGTGGAAATAGAAACAATTGAATTATGATTATTGTTTTCTTTACCATCTGTGTCTTATTATTATTTGTGTGCAGGTGAAGCTAAGTGGACGACATTAAAAGGCCTCCATAGGACTTGGCTCTGCTCTACTCTGTCCCTGGTTCAGACTGCGTGGTCTATGGCTCTGATGGACAAACACAAACAAGTCAAGCGGCAGAGACTTGACCGCATTTGTGAGGGTGAGATTTATACTCGTAAACAAAGTCAAAGTAAGAACTTGCATGCCTTAAGTATATTTTGTTATTTCAATATAAAGAATTTAAATAAAAATGCTATGAAGGCCATCATACCCATACAGTCGGACAGTTAAGCCTTATATTAATGATTAATAAAGATGAAAATGTGTAAGGTGGTAAAACACAACATTCTACCAGTAGCTGTGTTAAATATGTAGGCAGACCATAGTGAGGGCAGATTTAAACTAGAACACGTTGAAATGTTTTAGTTTTTTGTTTTTTTTAAACTACGTGCCGACAGTTCCAGATTATTTTTGTATAATTCTGCTCTATAATGGTTCCTTTTAATATATTATCCTGCCATTCTTTTGAATATTCTGGTGTTAATGTGGTGGTGGTATGTTTTTCATTTAGGTTAAAAAATAATAATTATGTCAATGTACTTCCGGGTCAGTTTGCCCTCTGCCCCGCACTTACAGCTAAGAGACTATTTCACCGTTTCGCTCTCTTCTTCTTCTTCTTGTTCTTCGGGTTGACTGGAAGTACTTTTTTTCCAGAACTCAAAAGTATTGCGCCATTTTTCACCCATGTCCATTCACGGGGCTCCGTACATTTGAGGGTGAAGCAGGTCGCTGTTTGTCAATTTATTTGATTAAATTGGGACGCGAGGAACGTGCAGATGGAGGCGATGCACTGTATTTCACATTGAAGATGACAGAACATAAGTAAAGTTTGTGTTGCTACACAGTCATGGGTGGTACAGTGCAGATTTCCAGAAGAGACAGTATTCTGAGCTGTTGTGGATGGTGGAGATCAGACATAATGGTGTGCTAAAATGGAGGGAACAGTCTGGGTGAGTCTCTGGAGAGGGGTGAGAGGGAGAGGACAAGGTGAAGGGTCGTGGCCGCAACTACGGGGAAACGGTCCAGCTGTCTCTTTAAAAAACGACAACAGCCCAAACTGCCCTCGGCCTCAGACCCGGCTATGCTAATGAGGTTAGTGCTGGTTGGCTGGCCCTCAATGAAGCTGCCTGCTGATTGGAGGCTGTGTGTGGGGGAGGGGCTGGGCGTGGATGACAGCTGGGATCCAGCCAGCCAAGAGCAGGCTGACAGAGAGAGAGAGGGAGAAAAAAAAAAAGAGCGATAGAGGGAGAGCAAGGGGAGAGAGAGAGAGAGAGAGGAAGACAGGCTCACAGACTTCATAATGCAAGGTTAGGCCTGGTGCTCATGTGTTTTCTATTTTGGCATGTGTTTTTTGAAATGTGTGACGTGTGGGGGTAGAGATCTAAGGTTCGGGTGTGGAGCAGCAATGCGTGTGTGCAGTTTCCCTTTTATGTTCAGCACATATTGGTTTTGTCGCAGCCGTCAAGAAGGAACTGAATACCCGAGTGTGTGTGTGTGTGTGTGTGTGTAGCTGCGTCTGGGTGGAGTATCGCTGCTTGCTGCATTATCATCGTTTGCTGCCCCTCCCCCCCTCACCTCTTACTCCTCCAACTGCGGCCAGAGGGAGAGAGAAGAGGAGGAGGGATTGAGGGGAAAGAAAGGGAGAGGGAGGGAGAATGAATGAATCACTGAATGAATTGTATTGTGTGTGCAGCCATGCTTGCGCTTAGTAGGCCTCGGGTATGTCAGTGTCCTATACTCAAATTACTCTTTGTGTAGGCCTACTTGTATATTTCCACAACTACTTTTTCAGAGGGGTCTTTGTGATGAACCCCTTTGGATTCTTCTACACAGTAAGCGTCTCTTTGTGCGTTCAGCGTGTAGCATTAGGCCTGTTAGCATTCTTGAGCCATCTGCAATAACTGTGAATCACACTGCTAAACGGAGTGCAGTAGAGAAGTACATTGTTGTACATATTTAGAACCGTACCGGCTGTGTGTGTTTTTCTGTGGTGTGCTTTTCATGCATGCATTGGGAAATGCTCAGACGTCAGAGGAAGTGTTCACAAATATTTGTTTTCCACCCTCGGCTACCGGCTCCCTTACCTCGTCTGCTGTCTCACCATTACCTCCTGCCCCGTGTCCAAGTAAATGTTCCCGCTAGACACACTCCCCCACCCTGGGACACACACACACACACACACACCTGTCACACAGCAGGGGCAAGATGGTGTGTACTGGTGCATGTGTGGGGTCAGTCCAAGCCAAGAACTGCAGAGAGAGAGAGAGAGAGAGGTGTAGAAAGCATTTGCAGATACAACTGTATCAGTTTCCCCTCCATTTAATACCGATGTATTGGCAGAGATGTGGCATTTATTTATGGCATTGATTTGTGTTTGACATGCAACATTTCCTTTGTTGGCATAATGGTGAGTGACCATGATGCACATGGGCCAAACATGCAGATGTTTGCCAGTGTGGTCTGTGTCTGAAGAAAGGGGGGAACCAGACAAATAGGAAGAGGGACTCTTGCGGACAGGAGAATTTAGGTCATGACTCAGACCCCCTCATGAACCCCCACCGCCTCCTCTCCGAGACCCCGCAGTTTTCTCTACCCCAGCCGCCACACTCCATCACCTCTCCCCTTCTCGTCCCAGCCCCCCCCCCAATATCTCTCTGCGTGTGCACTTCTAATACAATGGCAGGTCAGGTTCCCAGACTTCTGCATCATAAACCAAAATGTAACTTCACCCTTATGAGGGGTCTAAAGAATCTTAAGTACAGAGAGGGATCGATGGTGTATGCTGGTTCCAAGCATGATGAAACAGAGCTGGAGTTCAACACCAAATAGGCCAGGATGCTGGACACTCTCCATGCCCCTCACAGATTTAGTAACACATCATATTTCTAACCATAGAAAACTCACACACACACTCGCACATCATCCTCGTAGTGCCCTGAGGGTGTTGGTGACGTTGGATGCGTTGGGGAAAAGAGTCATCAAGGTCTTGAGTTATCGTCTAAGGAGTGTGGCAGTTACTCCTGTTAACTTTAGCCATGTGTGCAGGGGGATTTAGTTTGAGTGTACGATGACTTACATCATCTTGGGTAGTCAAGACGTGGGAAATGCAGACTGTTGAGTCATTGATCTCGAGCTCAACCTCGCTGGTTCTGAAACACAAGTGGTTGGTAGCTGTGTACATCAAGGGGCATCAGCAGTGAGTAGTAGTGTAACCGTACGCATCCGCCACACGGTGCGGCACGCACGTGAACCACGGATTCATTACAAGTTTAATAAAGTTTTACTGTTGATCGTTATCGGCTCATATTCAGCAAACGCATGCGATCGGGAGATCAGCATTAATGCTTTCTAGTCGCCCATCCCCGATAATGCTGCATTGTGAACAACAGATCCATGTTGAGATCGGCAGGAGAGCCAGTAAACGTTAGCACCGAAGCTAACGGCTAACATATGGAGGTGCCATTGAGATACTTTATCATGGGTTCATGCTCCATTCAGTAAAAAAATAGTGTTGTAAATGTAATCTTGTGAATGTAGTTTTTGGTAAGAAACTTGAATATATATATATATATATATACAGTTGATTGAAGGCGATGTTTTGTTGATATTGAAATATAATTATCTGTATTGGTGGGACAGAAACGGGATCTGGACACTCTTAAGTTATACTTGCTCCCTTTTTTTCGTTGTATCCTCAGCAGTACGCTTTAGATGAAAACGTGTTCGTTGGCCTTTAGTGTTAGCATTTTTGTTCCAGATTTGCAATGGTTATTGAATATTAAACCTCTTGCTAATATGCAGCAACTAACATTACTTTCTTCCTGCTGGACTCAGGTATCCGACCCCCCATCCTGAACGGGCCAATGCACCCGCGGCCCCTGGTTGCCCTGCTGGACGGGCGCGACTGCACTGTGGAAATGCCCATCCTCAAAGATGTGGCCACAGTGGCCTTCTGCGATGCCCAGTCCACACAAGAGATTCACGAGAAGGTAGAAAAGACACACACACACACACTTCCATACTGCAACCCTAATCCATGAGGCCAGAACACTTCAATCCTATAGTATGAAAGTAATTAAGATCTGCACTGCTGTCTTTTCTATTCTATCAAGCAGAACTGTCTCCACCACAGCGTTCACAGTTGTTGAAGTGGTGTAATATTGAGGTTTTAAGTGGAGTTGAATGTGATTAAAATGATTTCTGATGCGTTTGTCTTCTGTAGGTGCTAAATGAGGCCGTTGCTGCCCTGCTCTACCACACCATCACTCTGTCCAGAGATGATTTGGAAAAGTTTAAAGGCCTTCGTGTCATTGTCAGGATTGGCTCGGGCTTCGACAACGTCGACATCAAAGCAGCTGCCGAGCTAGGTTAGCGGGTGGAACTTCAAACATGTTTTCCCGAGACACCGACTCAACCATGGCCTTCTGCATTGACTAACACACAGAGGGACTAATGTTTCTTTCCTACTTTCAGGCATTGCCGTCTGTAACGTGCCAGCATCGTCTGTGGAGGAGACGGCCGACACTTCGCTATGTCTGATCCTCAACCTGTACAGGCGAGTCACCTGGATGCACCAGGCCCTCCGGGAGGGAACCCGGGCCTCCAGTGTGGAGCAGATCAGGGAGGTAGCTGGCGGAGCTGCTCGCATCCGGGGGGAGACGCTGGGCATCATCGGTCTAGGTGAGAGAAGAGTGAAGAGTGGGCGTCTAGATTTATCAGGGGGCACCAGAGCCAGGTCTTCTAACATTTCCTCAAATCAGAGGAAGACCTGTTTTGAATTTATGTTTCAAAATAAAAGGCTGATTTTTACTTATTTGCAGCTGTTGATAACCTTCCCATTTCTCTTCGTCTTGCAGGACGTGTCGGCCAAGCCGTGGCTCTGCGGGCTAAGGCCTTTGGATTCGGCGTGATCTTCTATGACCCGTACCTGCCTGATGGCGTGGAGCGCTCACTGGGCCTGCAGCGCATGGCCACTCTGCAGGACCTGCTCATCCACTCTGACTGCGTATCCCTGCACTGCAGCCTCAACGAGCACAACCACCACCTCATTAACGACTTCACCATCAAACAGGTGTGTGGGTGCACTCTGAATATGCCCAAACACAAGTTTTGTCTCATGTTCCAATATTCTCAAATGTTGGAGTATTTACAAAAGGCAGCGTCTAATCAATGACAATGGGGAAAAAATGTGTTTACATCAATGGTTTTGAGATTTAAAAATAAATGGTTAATGAAATATGTTTTGGTTTTTATTGTTTTACTCTTTTAGGACATTTTTGCACTCTGTCTTGTCTAATTGTTAGAGGAAATGCTATGAATGATGTGCCTGTATCAGCTATGTAAACTGCTGCTTTATCAGGATAACCGTATCCTAATATAATCCGCCCTTTTGTTTAGCAGCGTACCAGATAAAGATATTATCTCAAGTTCCAGCCTTGTCTAACATGGCCTGCTCCCCATAGTCTAAGCGTGCTGTTATTGATTCTGTGATACAGATGCGTCAGGGAGCCTTCCTGGTGAACACGTCAAGAGGCGGTCTGGTTGACGAGAAAGCACTGGCTCAGGCCCTGAAAGAGGGCCGGATACGAGGGGCTGCCCTGGACGTCCATGAGACGGAACCTTTCAGGTGACAATGCCACTCGACACCCAACCGCTGAATCCGACACACAACCTCATCGCTCGTCTCCGTAACGACCTTTCCCTTTCTTCACAGTTTTTCAACAGGGCCTCTGAAGGACGCCCCCAATTTAATCTGTACCCCGCACACATCCTGGTACAGTGAGCAGGCCTCCGTGGAGGCTCGCGAGGAGGCAGCCAGGGAGGTTCGCCGCGCCATCACCGGTAAGTTCTCCCTGAACGGGATCAAGCCTGTTGTTTCACCTAAATACACGGATATAGATACATTATAGATAGAGTAGAAGGGAACGACACAAATCCAACGCTTTCATTCTGTGGACACTGATTTGCTGAAGGGTGTACAACATTACGGGTGATTTACAGAAAGGAAAGCCTGTATGGAGTTGATTTTAAAGAATGATGGATGACCCGTTACCCGCCTTGATTACATTAAATGAGTATTTTATAATAGGGCTCTCTACCAAACAGTTAGAAGCCTCAAAGCTTCATTCACGTTGACCTTCGAATGCGGCTACACTAACGTCATTAGTGTTATACTGTTTGTACAGCAAGCGGGAGAGCAAACAGTGATTCGACCGTCGTTGTTGAAAGTCTAGACGACAACAGATATGGATTAATGCAGAGTATTTTGATTTAAAATAAATCTTGTTTTTTGGAGTTTACAACCCTCTGGAGTTATTGGCAATATTTGGATCACACAGTCAATCCTACGCAGCCACCACTGGAATTTAATATAGTACTATTCACTACTGAATACACACTTTGTAAGCCGTACCTGTAAGTTATGATCATGTGCCGATGCAGAGTAAATATAAAGGAGAAACAGTTAATCGTGTAGCTTAATTTAATTTACTGCAGAAATACTGGGTTTAAAGGGAATAAATAGAGAAAGGTGCGCAGTATTCGAGTGTTGATTTATAATTTGAAAGTCAACATTATGAATGTAGCTTCAAACTATTCGGTACAATCTATGCAAAGTTGAATATTCAGCCTAAACCGGCGAAACAGAGTTGGCCCGAGAATTCAGATTTGGGTAAAGCCCTGAATCTGATCAGGTCCTCAAAAACAGACCAGAAACCCTCTCTGAGTAACGGTCTGTTTCTCCAACTCCAGGACGAATCCCCGACAGTCTGAAGAACTGCGTTAATAAGGAGTATCTGATGGCAGCCTCTCAGTGGCCCAGCATGGAGGCCGCCACCGTTCACCCAGAACTTAATGGAGCCACTTACAGGTGAGAGGAGTGGGTGTGGAAGGTGAGAATGGTCGGGGGAGGGGGGGGGGGTTTACATATTTTACAACGAGCAGCTATCGTGATTTATGTTCCTTCATCTGTGTTTCAGATTCCCTCCAGGTCTGATCAACGTTGCAGCAGTAGGGGGTCTCCCGGGAGCTGTTGCAGGGGTTGAAAGCCTCGTTTCAGGAACCCTGTCACACGGCATCACCCCCGTCTCTCACCCCCCTCACGCCCCTTCCCCTAATAAGGCCGAAGCCGACAGAGACATCCCCTCTGACCAATAGCCCCCCCTGCTGCCACCAGCACATTCCGTCGCCTCTGGAACCCCCCCCTCCCCCAGCATCAGACACAGCCCGCCCCTCCAGTACATCGGCAGCGCCAGTTTGACCTGATGTGGATCTACACAGTCTTGTTCCTCAGATCACATAACCAGCCCAGGAGTGACCTATCCACAGCTAGCCCCATCCCACCCACACCCTCAGAACACACACACACATCCCTCCATCCTCGTCATCATCTCACCCACCCACCCTACCTGCCATCCCCCCCTCCCCCTCTCCCCCCTTCACTCCCCCACAATATCAGCAATAACTGTGTTCTCAAGGATTCAATGATTGGATTGGTTTATATCCTTAGTTGGCTGTTGTTTTAATGGAAAGTTGCCCTGTTGTGGTTCTAGGTGTTAATGTTTGTTTGTTTGTAAAAAAAAAAAAAAAAAAATTATATAGCATTTCTGACATGAGGCTTTACAGTCTGCTGCCTCCTGCAGTCCTGCAGGCAGAAAGGTTGAAGCCCCCTTTGTACATTAATGGCTCATGTTACTGCTCTCTTCTTCTTCTTCTTCTTTTCTTCCTTTTTTTCTCCTCCCTCCACCTTTCTTGTGATGGGGGAACATGTGTACGAGAGTAAAGCAGACAGAATCACCAACCGTACATCCTGTCCTCCCCACCAGGCGTCGAGCGGCCCCTCAGCCCTGTTTGGCCCTTAGCTCCCCTTGGCACTGTCGTCCGCTGACTCAGCAGAGGGGTCTGTAATGCAGTCAGTGTGGAGCTCTATCGGACTGGAACGTTTTTTTGTATCTGCTCAGCTCATACTACCGATAGTGATACCCAAACATCCTTCGTGACCTTTTTACCGGTGTGACCATCTAAGTTTCAGGACAGTCAGCCCTGCAGTTACACATGCTCTGCCCCTTACGGATGGCTTCGTCACGAACATGATAGCATCATATCAGAGAGCGCCTGGGCATGACTTTCATCTCATGCTGGAAGTGGTGTGTGTGTGTGTGTGTGTGTGTGTGTGTGTGTGGGGGTGGGGGTGGGGGTGGGGGTGGGTGGGTCTTCACACATTCTACCCACAAAGAATCAAACGCAGCAGCCTTTTCTGGCTGGAGAACCTGAGAGCATGGCAGCGGCCTCGCCAGCAGAGGGCGCTGTCCCCCTGCTCAGAGTGGTGTTGCTGAGCGTTAGCGGTTAGCTGTAGTGATGAAGAACAGGATCTCACACTGCCAACATTCACAACACAGGATGGGGGACCAGGGATCGACTACCGCCTTATTGTTTTTATAAGATCTCACTGCATCCCACCACCACCACCCCTGCATCCACCCACCCTCCACTCCTCTCACACCGTCATGGCCCGCCCGACACCTGCTCATCAACCAGTATGCATCCACCGATTCCTTTAAGCGTGAGGGGACAGCAGAGTTTAGTTTCCCTGTAGGAGCAAGCGGACAGTGTTCTTGCATGCTGGCTTTGTTAATGACAGTGGTATGTATGTGTGTGTGTGTGTGTGTGGGGACATGAGAGTGTGTGTGTGTGTCTGTTCCCTCACCCTGTTATGATAACAAGCTATTGTCTTTCCAAAGGAATAGTCCCAAGGAGTAACTCTTTAACGCTGTTGCCCTGGTGTCAAGGGAACACCTTTCTAGTACCTCAGTAACAGATATTGAATGTACCGTGCATACCCTTTTATTTTTATGTACAGATTTTCTAGATACTTCTTTACTATTCTTTACCAGAAGGGTTGTGAAATTGTAGCAGTAATGATACAATAAATTAAAAAAAGAAAAGCATTGCCCCATGAAATGAATTGACAAAATCCTTTTCGGTTCGCTCTCGGTCACTGAATACTCAGGCTTTGCGTATCTCTTTGATTTCTTCATTGTGGAAATTTCAGCACAAGGCTTTCCCGTTCTCAGACTTCAGACTATAGTGGATGTGTTTTGACCTCCATCTTACTGGCTATTGAAAAAGAAGGAAAAAACAAACGGCGGTCGTCGTGGTCTGCTAGTTTTTTTTTTTTTTTTGTTTGTTTTTACTAGAACAGTAATAGATGCAGTTTTGTTTTACTCCCCCCGCCTTCATTGTCAGGCTGCTCTATCTATAGTGCATGTGAGGTAATTCTTTAGGGGAAATACTATTGGCTTAAAGAATTTGTGTCATCCTGCTGTGTCCCTCCGCTCCTCGACCTTTTTCCCCCTCAAGAGTGTTTTCGACACGAGTTGCCATTTGTGTCGTGGTCAGTTTCCAGTGATGTACATTTTCCCTCAGAGTCTATGAGAGACACGGAGCATGTCTGTGTCCTGAGATGCTCGGCTCCTCTGTCATGTGATGAGTATATATTTTTAAAAATAACCCCCATAGTTCGGAATATGAGCATAATAGTAATCTTAAATTTTGCTGTTGATGATGATGATTATATATATATTTTTCGGTTCAGCAGTGCACTGTTATGAAAAGCATTCTGTTTTATTGTAGGATTTCATTTTTATGGATATGCTGTCTGTGTTCTACATGTTGTACTGAAACATTTCGGAGAAAAAACAAGAGATCCCTCTACTGGTGATTTTTTATTTTTTTTTTTTTATTTTTTTTTTTAAATATTATTTGTCTTATCCCAACTGTGTTTTCCAGCTGATATCCTCTGGGCCTTACTTATTCTGTCCCTGTAAAAATAGCTGTTATAGAAAGTCGCCATGGAACCACTCACTGCCTTAATCCAGTCGACCACAGTAGGTGAAGTCAGGAGACGCATCCAGTCGAAAAGAACGGGCCACAATCAGGGCTGCTCCGCAGAACGCTCCTCACACACCGGCAGGTCTAAATCTGCAGCACGTTGCATTTCTTTTGTCACTGATGAACCGCATTTAAGCCTCGTTTTGGGCTCAAACACAAACATTCAGTGTGATGTCTTACTGCGCATTGATAAGATGTTATGGTTTTTTTCTTCTTCTTTTTTTAAACTTTTGAATAGTTCAAGTCAGCCCGGTACCGTGTTTGTGCGCCGGCTAACATAAGCACAGTGTGTATGCTCACAAAGCCGCAGCTGATATTTCACTCTTGGGTGTGAGAATGCCTCCCCACCCACTACTACCACTCTGGGGCTCTTAAAGCATCTTTTCACTGTGCTGCCAGAGCCCCAGTGGGGAGGGGGAGGGGGGCATAGCGGACACTGGTGTGGTCTGTCAAAAAAAAAAAAAAAGCAGAAAATTACGATGAGAATCGGTCACTTTTTCTCTCTCAGGGTTCAAATGCACACATATCCTCCAGCGGTTGCCCTCTGTCTCATGTCCCTTGTACCAAGTTTTCTGCCCCCAGAATGTAGAACAGCCTCCTGCGTTTTTAGAAGCCGCTCTCTCCTCGTTCCCCCTTTTGTGCACAGGTCTGAACTTATTGTTTTCTGTTTTGCTTTCTATCGGCACTGACATCTAACCATCTAACAAGGAATGAATGAATGAATGTTTGGAAGTGACTGTGTAATGTTAAAATTGGGAAATGTATTTTTACAACATGTGAACATTTTTTTCCACTCACTCTGTGTGAATTTATTTTATTTTTTTTTCTTTCACCAGACTGCAAAAAAAAAAAAGAAAAAAAAAAAAGGTTCTCCTGTAACTAGGCTCTTAAGCTTTATTTTTGTTTTGTTTACTTTTTTATTAGAAACAATCATGTTTGTGATGGTAACTTCCGATGGTAAACTCCACACCGTATTTTAATAAAATCTTAAAAATTAAACATTTGCTCCTGTGGTTCCCTTTCAAAGTTTCTCCACTGGTCCATAAAGTCCTGTTGTGTCCCGAACCCTTAACTCTGCCTTCTGTTTATTTCACGAGGAAAAGGATCTGTGCTTGATTATAGCGGTCAATAACGTGGTGACAATTGACGCCAGCTGCCAGTATGTCGTCCCACTGATTACACTCCGAGATTTTGCCGTAAACAAAATTGTTTACTGCCCCAGTCGGTCAGCTCTTTTATATGGCAACGAGGGGCTGTGCAGTGCCTGAAAGGCCGCAGCTTCACAAGGAGGCAGACTAGGTGGGGCGTATGGGGGGGAAAAAGGGGGCTTCTATGTAGACCCACAGGGCAAAGGAGGGCGGGGGATTACCACCCCTAAAATTGCTACCACATGTGCATAACCAGGAGCCTACTCTTAAAATGGAGTGATGGTGGTACTCGAGGCTGACGTCCTCTCACTGGAGGCACCTTCAGGAGCCCGCTGGCTAAAGACTGGCACCCCGATTTGGTTGTGGTTATTGACTCCATGATGTTTAATTATCATTATACAACCAATAATTATTTGCTTTTTGCTTTGACAGTGTCTTGGACAAAATTCTGTCACAAACGGTAAAAGAGTTCAGCGTTGCATTCCTGTAACATTGTCAGACTCATGACGGACAGTTAAACAAACCAATCATAAGCAAAGCAGCAGAACCAGAGATGCAAAAGCAGGCGCCTACATTACCCACAATGCAACTCCACCACCTGCAGTTCTGTCAGAGAGTTGGGCGTGTTATGCTAGTGCTATGTGGCTAATGTAGCCGTGAGCTCAGATGCGCAGCGGGCTCGACAGATCTGGAAAGCTCACTTCTTTCTAACTCCAAACACTCAAACTTGTAGTCTTCATCCCCACCAACCCTGACTCAAGTGACATCACATGAGGACCTTTCTCAGGCCTTTGCATAGCGCTCTCTGAAACCACAAAAGATTTTGTCCCACTGTTTTCCACATAAGATGTGTTCCCCTTTAAAGTAGGTGAATAGTGAGTAGTGAGTAGTGGTCACCCCTCTACTGATGCCTCACAAGAGATGTATATATGTATATATATGTATGTATATATGTGTATATATGTGTATATGTATGTATATATGTATATATATGTATGTGTATATATGTATATATATGTATATATATGTGTGTATATATATATGTGTATATATATATGTGTATATATATATGTGTATATATAT